TCAATGCACCCGAGATTTATGGGAATCGACATCATCCTGAGCGACCTGGTCCACTTTCTTTGGTCTGCAGTTCGTAACTCAACACTAGCTTGATGACTATTTCAAGTTTGCTACTGATTTTTGACATACAGTACAGTCACGCACATTCGCTCTTTTACATGTAGTGGCATCAACAAAAACAAAAGTTATGAAAGTATACAAAGTATACAATGTTAGACAAATGGTTATGCATAAATATAGCTCAGGCTGTCGTACAGTGCAGTTACTGTGATGTTCAAGAAACAGTTTTGTCATTCTAGCACCAAAATTACTTTGTTTACAGCCTTTGAAAACAGTCCAATGTTGCTGGTCATGGCAAATAAACTACAGTATTATGATAATCGATGGACAAGCTCATGTAAACAGTGACATCTGTCACATAGTGCTCCGTGACAGTAAATAAAGGATGCTGTGATCATTAATTGTCCGTATTAAGAGGAAAAACAGTCAACAGTTCTTAAAGGCTATTTATCTAATGTTTACAAGTAAATATTGTAAATTGTGATACAAAAGAAGAAATACAAACAAAATCTACATTTCACTTTAAAATATACAATTAAAATTTTTAACAAGCTTTGATAGTATTGATTTTTCAGCATTGAGACAGTACAAAAGACAATCACACACAAAATAAAAACACAAAAGACCTTTGAAAATGTCGCGTTTGCAATCCACACATCAGTTCGTAGAACAGCGTAAGTTGGAATCTTAGCACCTTGTTTGCTCAAGATTACTGAGAAACGAGGGTTGGTTTGTCATTGTTCCCAAACTTGAAAGTTGAAAATGTGTGTTTGCATGTCCATATCTGGAGTGTTTTGGAGGACGGCTTGCCAAACAATCCTTATGTACCATTGAGACTGCACGTCTCCAGCTGCAATCAAAAATGGCCTCTGGTTGGTTTACCCAGCAGGCTTCCAGTTCTCCATTCATATGTGCTCTGTTTGCGAAGCGCGTCTTTTTCAAATACACCGACAAGAGCACACAAGTATGGAGAAGAAAATGGTTCAAATGTGAATGCCAAGTTTGTGCAACATCACATGCATATTCGAAAACCCTTTGGACAGTTGTTGCCATTTTTGGAATGAAATTTCCCTGATTAAATACGCAGACGCGGCCCAGTGCAAATTGAGCATTTAGCACCACTCCTGTCTTAACTGCCACACATATATGTGTGTGTTCTTGTCTATGTGTGTAAAATGAGGTAAAGCGATGTGGCAGCTCATGCAAACACTCCAGAAAGTCCCAAAAATCGTATGTAAAAAGACATATTTCAGTCTCGAGAACCTTAAGCTGTTTGAACCCTCGACTGTTTAAACCTGAAAAATGGTTGCAGTCCTTTGTGTCACCTTTTTTTTTTCTTTTCTTCAAAAATAGTACAATACTTGACAAATGACTCTAAATACTGACTGGAATAAATGTTGACCCCAGTTTGCACTGAGACATCGAGGTGAGTGAACGGTCATTATATTTTTCTTCATCTATAATGCATCGTTTTTATGTGCACTAAAGACTGAAATGTCATTTACAGTTGTAAACTGTCAAAATTATCATGAAAAGCCGTATTGAAATTAAATCGTCCTTACGACTAATATGTCTGATTGGGTGCTAATGCTAGTGCTAACGCACTCCTGCTAATTTAAGGTGGTATATGTACATATTCCACCCAACCTGGCGGAATCGGTGGGGGCTGACATGAAAACATGAAAGGATGGCAAATAAGAACAAACCCAAAACATGGCGATAAATGGACACAGTCTCTCAGAGCCAACGCCCTGCTGTGAAGGGCACAGGGTCAAGGGTCAGTCTCAGTGCAGGTGGATGTGCAGCTTGATGCGCAGTGCGTCGCCGATCTCGCCCAGCAAGTAGTCGCTATCGTGCTGGTCCTCTATTTGCTGAAGTTTGCGTGGACCGAACATACGCAAGCTGGCGATCTCCAGGCGGAACAAACCTGGAGGGGGTGGCTTTCGGCCCAGCCGCAGAACACTCTTCCCGTCGCGACGCTCCAGGATGTGGAAGTGTTCACCCTGGTTTCCGTGCGTTATGACGTAGCGCACGTGGTGCTCAAGCGGCTCCAGGGCTGGAAGCAACTCAAGTAGGGGTTCCTTGTTTTGCAGCTGCGCCAGACTAAGGTTCATTGGGATGGAGGTCTGAACATCCATGCTGGCCATACTCACCGTCTCCTGAGGGCAGGACAGAACAGTTGGAAACATTAGAAGAAGCTTCAGATAGATCTTGACTTAAGTCTGTTATACCCTTTATAGAGTTAGGAATTAAGGTCAGGGTTAGCAGTGTGGCCATATTGAAAACATGACGACTACAGAGAGACGGACAGTACTCAAAAAGTACCTTGAGCTCATTATCGCCATCATTACGCCTATGGCGCCCTTTCTTTCCAAGGTCACCATTGATCTTGCATTCATAGCAGGCCTCCGGTGACAGTGACTCTTCGTCATCCTCTCCCTCCGAGCCAAACTGACCCTGGAAGCCCACTCCTGTGATGCAGTGCCTAGAAATGAAAAAGGTGAAACATTACTTTTCTTTCACTTGTGTAATTATTCAGCTTAGGTCAGGAATATCCAAATCCGGATCCTGGAGGGCCAACAACCTGCAGGGATCTCCAACCCTGCTCCTGGAGAGATACCATCCTGCAGACTTCAAGTTCCAACCCTGCTCCAACACACCTGTCTGTAATTATCAAGTAACCCTGAAGACCTTGATTAGCTGGTTCAGTTGTGGTTGATTAGGGATGTGGCTAAACTCTGCAGGATGGTAGCTCTCCGGGAGCAGGGCTGGAGACCCCTGCTGAGGGGGTTGTCCCAATGTACCTGCCTGGAAGTTTTAGTAATCCTGAAGACCTTTATAACCTTGGTTCACAATATTTGGAGTTGGAGCTAAACTCTGCAGGACAGTGGCCCTCGAGATAATTTTTATATAAAAATCTGATCATAGCAACATGGGTATGTTTGCACGAGCTCTGCAAATTAGCACTCCCGTGAAGTCACGTCACGTGTATTTACATGGCACTTTATTCAATATATTGCTTAAAAGCAAGCAGAAGTATTAAACATGAAAAACAGTGTCAGTGTCTCATTTCATCAGAAGCACAACTTAATTTGCTACTATAAAGCGGCTCTCCACTGTATTCAGTTTTGACAGATGAAACTCGACAGACGAAATGAACCCAGAGAAGAGTTCTGCGTGAAAGAAGGCGGAGCCTCAGCGCACACCTCCTATGACGTAATCGTCACGGACCAATGGTAGTACGAAGGTGTTTTGCAGCCTGAATTAACTTTTTTTGAAAGTTCGCTTTGGCAAGCCGTTTTGGCTGGATTTTGCTCGAAATTACATCACATCAGTTCGTTCTTCGTTTTCGCTTGAAGTTTATTGGGTCCTTAAATACTCACCCTTGTCCTGCTCGGTAGAAGCCTCCAGGACATCCGCACAAGTAGCCGCCATCTGTGTTGGAGCAGCCATAGCTGCAGGGGTTATTGTTCAAGGCACATTCATTAACATCCTGGCAGCCGCCAGCAGAGAGCTCAAAGTCGAAACCTGACGGGCACATGCATTTATAGCTGCCCAGAGTGTTATAGCAAGACGCAGACCCACAGGCTTGATTTCCGGCGCATTCGTTCTCGTCTAGGTGGAAGGAAGATGCAGAAATTAGAACTGCACAACTGAAAACCACACTTCATCGTCAGAAATACTTACCCACACACTGGTTCCACTGGTAGTGCTGAACGTAACCTTGCGGGCATCCACAGCGATATCCTCCCAGCATGTTCTGGCAGCCGTGCTGGCACCGGTGGTTTCCACCACATTCATCGACGTCTGTAAGAAACCAAGAAAACAAAATCAGGTTAGCATGTGATTCTAATATTGGTGGCATAGGGGCGGCGTTGTTGCCCGACCACCTTCTCAGCAGTGTTGGATCCGGAAGTATTTTTTACATTAATTTTTCCAATTGGGATTTTGAAAAATGGTTCGTTAAAGCATTATAAGCCATCAACCAAACCAAACAATTCCATGAAGCATTGCAAATGACAATCTGAAGCCCAAAGTATACTTTGGCCATCCGCGGACTTGTCCGTGTGATGCAATTCTCATCATCAGAAGTGTCCATGTGCAGCCCAATTTTTGTGTCCACGCAAACAACATTGCAATGGTGGCACTGCGATGTGTCGAATATGCTTTAAAAGCTGCGCTGACACGACTGTGCGCGAGACGGAGCAGAACGCGGAAATAGTAGTATAACCGGGCCTTAAAGGGTTACTCCACCCCAAAATGAAAACTTTGTCATTAATCACTTACACCCATGTCGTTCCAAACCCGTAAAAGCTTTGTTCGTCTTCGGAACACAATTTAAGATATTTTGGATGAAAACCGGGAGGTTTGTAACTGTCCCATTGACTGCCAAACAATTAACACTGTCAAGGCCCAGAAAAGTATGAAAGACATTATGAAAATAGTCCATCTGCCATCAGTGGTTCAACCGTAATTTTACGAAACTATGAGAATACTTTTTGTACGCAAAGAAAACAAAAATAACGACTTTATTCAGCAATTCGTCTCCTCTGCATCAGCGTAGCACCATTTTGGAGAATATCCGCTGGATGCAAACAGCGTACGCTGTTGTGTCAGCTGCACCACGTTTTTTTTGGTTTCTTTGTTATTTTTGTTTTCTTCGCGTACAAAAAGTATTCTCATAGCTTCGTAAAATTATGGTTGAACCACTGATGGCAGATGGACAATTTTGACGATGTCTTTCATACTTTTCTGGACCTTGACAGTGTTATTTACTTGGCAGTCAATGTGACAGTCACAAGCCTCCCGGTTTTCATCCAAAATATCTTAAATTGTGTTCCGAAGACGAATAAAGCTTTTACAGGTTTGGAACGATATGGGGGTAAGTGATTAATGACAAAATTTTCATTTTGGGGTGGAGTAACCCTTTAAAAAAGAAGGTGAAATATAAAACTATTCATTTAAAGTTGTTGACTGTATTTAAGTATTTTGAAAGCGGCTTGATTACGTCATTTGTGGTGCTTCGTGTGAGTGGGCGGAGCTAAAGAGCTCCCCAAGCATGATTTGATAACCACAACTCTCTGATTGGTGGAATTTTCTGGACAGCATCATGGATAGTAGTTTTTCCAATACGAATTCTGCTGTTAAACACAATTATGAACTAATATGAACAGATGGCTTCAACAAAAGCATCTACCAGCGATCAACAACCTTGGAGCTCACAACAGGTCGATTGCTGCTTAGTGCAAAATCATTTCACATGGGCCCAAAATGGGAAGCCTACCATCGCAGTTGATTCCTGTGGTGTCCAGAGAGAAGCCATTCTGACACTCACAGTTGAAGCTGCCGGGGGTGTTGAGGCAGGAGGCGCGGGAGCCGCATACATTTGGCCGATTGCTGCATTCGTTGTTGTCTAAGAGATGAAGCATGAAGGCAATTTTAGCTCCAAATGACCCATTCAGTTATTTAGACTCTGGGCTTGGCATGTCAGCGGGTGGCTTGAGTTCATATCACTCACCTATGCATGCCGTCTGGTGCTGCGTGAAGCCTGAGGGGCATTTACAGGTGAAGCCACCGATTGTGTTGACGCACAGGAACTGACAGTTGTGTTGCTTGGTTGAGCACTCGTCCAAGTCTGGGATGAAATAAGCAATTTTTTCAAATTAGCACACATTGGGTTGATCATTGGCACGGATTATTACTACGACCAGATTTATAAGCAGATCTTATCCCAACAAGGAAAAATTGAACCATTAATCATGAACTAACCTTTGCAGGTCTTCCCATCAGGCTGTAGGATGTATCCTCTGGGACACGAGCACAGGTAACTGCCTTCAGTGTTTTTGCACAGGAAGTTACATGGTTTGGGCGACTGAGAGCACTCGTCCATATCTAATTGAAAAGCATCAAGTATTGCATCAAAAATGGGCTTTTAGAACAATATCGCACTTTATTGATTTAAATAAGGGTAACGATGAGTGAGGAGAACGTACCAACACAGGAAGTGCCAGTAAAGTCATCGGTGTAACCCACGTTGCAATGGCAGCGGAAGGAGCCGACGCTATTGATGCACTGGCCGTTCTTACACAGGTTAGGCATCACCTCACACTCGTTGATGTCTGCAAAAATACAGTAGATATGGTATCCATATATGCATTCCTAAATCTAAAAGAAATGCCTGAATTTCAGTGAAGCACTTTTAACTAAACATCTGTAGCACTTGTTATTTAAAAACAGTACTAATTTTAATATTGTAATATTATTATTATTATTATGAATAAATACATATATATATATATATATATAAGTACTGTATTACTAAAAATATGAATGTACATATTAAAATATATTTCAAAATTAAATAATTAATATTTTCTGTATTTATATAAAACCACAAAATAATATTTAAATGTATAAATAAATGTATTTAAAATATCCATACATTAATTTGAAATATTATTAAAAACATGATTATACATATATAAAAAAATATATTCCATATATTCCAAAATATATTTGATACTTACTGTATAATTTGTCCAAAAATTATTATTATAATAAATTATTTACTATAATAAAATTATTTTACAATATTCATTAATGTAAATATTCATAATTATAAACAAACATGGAAAGTAACACGTTTTCTACATTGATATTTAATAAATATATTTATAAATGTGTTAAAAAATACAAAATAATTTTATATCAATATTTAAATATATATAAAATATCTACTGAGTTTGCACATCATTACATTGGTCTAAAAGAAGCTATTTTTGAACAACAGACCAGTGATTTTATTATAAAGAGTGATCGTCTGTTGCTCTGTGAAATCTCTGTAAAGACATTCAGAAGTGCGGAGATCTCTGACCTCTGCCGTCAGTGGTGTATCCGGGTCCGAGCGGACACATCTTCTTGTACTGGATGGTTCCGGGCAGAGGACAGAGTTCACACAGCGAGCCCCAGCCGCGGCCGCCGTTACAGCAGCACTCCGACTTAGTGACGGTGTTTCGGTTGGTGGACGACTGCTGGCACATCGTCTGCAGGACCTCCGTGAAACAGAAGCCCTTCCTGTTATCTGACAACAACAGCAGGCCGGTTAGACAGAATGAGCAATCTCAGTCTAATTTAAAACTGAAATGAGTGCACTAAATGGTTGAAGACTGGGGATTTGATTTGGTTTTAGTGTCCGGTTTCATGCGATTTGTGCCTGTATGTCAGTCATGTTCTGATTGGCCGCTGGCTCTTACCGATGCACTCGGTGCCTGTGGAGCTCGACTCGAAACCCTCGTTACATTCGCAGCGGTAGCTTCCCACCGTGTTGACACAGCGGCCGTTCTTGCAGATCCCCGGCTTGCTGCGGCACTCGTTCAGGTCTGCCAGAGTCACACACGGAGGAGGAGAGAGAGAGAGAGAGACGACTTATGCAACAACACCATCAGCACATACTACAGAAAAGTGACTAAATTACTGTAAAATTTAAATTCTATCCAGCGTACATTACAGAAAATGATTTAGGTAAAATAAAATATAAATAGTTTATATATTATATAATTATATAACGTATTAAATATTATTAGTATTATTGATTTATTTATATTGCATAAAATATATTATTATTATTATTATATAAATATTATTTGTAATTATTATTTTGTTAATTTTGCATACAATTTTAAACGTTATTATTATTATATAAATGTTATTAAAATGCATGTTAAAAAATACAAGTCACTACATTCACAATACTCCCAATTTATATGCATATTAC